CTTTTCAATCTTTTGCTGGGGTTGTATCCATTTATGACGTTTCTGCAATTCTCGTAGATATTCAATGTGCCATCGTCGCCAGAAATCTTGTCGCACCTTCGTGATGTGTTTCCACGAAGACAATCGATTAGCTGGTGTCTTAGCATAATCTTCCTCTGGCAATGTCGTAATAGGTCTTTCAACTAAAAAATGTACAGGTGTTAGAGCTGTCACGTCATTCGGATCTGATGAGATAGGACATAACGGGCGTGAATTTAAAATTGCTTCGATTTCGATCACGAATGTAGTTAATTCTTCTTATGTGAAGAGAAGTTCGCCGACAACCCGTTTAAAATGGTCTTTGAAAGATTTGACGGCCGCTTCCCACAAACCTCCGAAATGAGGTGATAAAGGAGGATTAAAATGCCATGATATTCTATGATCTACTGCGAAATTATGGACCTTTGTTTTATATTCTTTCGACTCAATCAAGGCGTATAATTCCCTTAACTGGTTATTAGCCCCGACAAAGTTTGTTCCGTTATCCGAATAAATATGAGTTGGAACAGCTCTTCGACTCACAAAACGCCTGAAAGCGGCTAAAAAGGCATCTGTAGTCAGATCGCTGACTAGTTCGATGTGTACAGCCTTGATGGTCATGCAGATGAAAATACACCCGTATATTTTAACGCGACCTTTATTACGGTGCTTCTTTTCTTTCGCGTAAATTGGGCCAAAGAAATCTACTCCGACATGGGAGAATGCAGTGGCTTCCTGCACTCGTGAGCTTGGTAAATCTCCCATTTTATACTGGATGCCGGACGCACGGAATCGGATGCAACGTACGCAATGACGTACGATTCTTCGCACCTGATTCTTGCCGTCGAGGAGCCAAAAACGTTGTCGAAGGGCATAGGGGGTAGTCTGTATACCGGCGTGAAAGTTTTGTTCATGGAGCCTTCGGATAATGAGATCGGTGACGTGGTGATGTGAGGGCAATAATATCGGACATTTCTCGTGGAAACTTAAATTTGCGTTTCGAAGTCGACCCCCCACTCGAATTAAACCTTCTTTGTCAAGGATCGGATTTAACACGGCGAGCTTTGTGCTCTTGACTCCCCCCGCTGTCTTCAGCCTTTCTCTTTCGGCGTGAAATTGTTCGTCTTGCACGAATTTTAAAACGCGTCGTTCCGTTTCTGTTATTTCTGCGGTAGACAATTCTCCCTTATATGAGTTAGTTTTAAGCCATCGTCGGCATTGGGCTACAATTTTTAATAATCGCGTGTAACTAGAGAATCGCTGAAATATGCTTCCTGATTCAATTCGCGTCGTTAGTACCGATAGTCTCTTTACGTCCGGCAATTCGAGAATTTCTCTTTCAGTCGGGACTGGCCACTCGGCCTCCGGTCGCTCGAGCCAAGATGGTCCGTGAAACCATACCTTGTTCTTCAGGAAATCGCGTGGGAGTTGTCCCCTAGATAAAGCGTCCTCTGGGTTGTCTTCGGATCGCACATGTCGCCATGTGATACCTTCACAGATTTCTTGTATTTCGCGCACGCGATTTGCCGTGTATATTTTCAACGTACCGGAGTCTCTTTTCAGCCAACCTAATATAATCATCGAATCGGACCAGAACGTTATCTTGTCGGGTTTTAATCCGTCGGCGGTCCGGACTTCTCTATATAATCGCGCGAGTGTCAATGCTCCGCATAATTCTAAACGTGGTATGGTGGTGTCCTTAAGAGGAGCCACGCGACTTTTAGCGCAAAGTAGACGTACGCGCGTATTACCGAATTTATCTCGCGATCTTACATAGAAACAGCCGCCGTCACCAGATTGACTCGCGTCGCAGAAACCGTGTAATTGCACGTCGATCGGGTCATCGAGTGTAACGCGTCTCTCGATTGTTAAATTATCGATTAATTTCATTTGTTCCGCGCATGTTATCCACGAGGTATGTAATGCGCTGGGCACAGATTCGTCTCAGTCAACGTGTGTTTTCCAGCAGTCTTGGATGAAGACCTTAGCTGTTAGAATGACGGGTCCTAACAGTCCGAGTGGATCGAAGATCCTTGCTACTTCGGATAGAATTCGTCGCTTGGTAATTCTTTCGCGAGTGTCTACGGGCGCGACGGAATAGATTAGATAATCGCGGTGGGCGTTCCATGAAATACTGAGTGTCTTTAAAACATGATTTTCCCTCGAGCAGAGTTCGACGTCGACGTTCTTTATATCTAAATTTTCGAGCACCGGTCGGAAGTTAGACGCCCACTGTCGTATGTTAAACCCGCCTCGTTTCAATATTTCTATGGTTTGATCGCGTATCCTTCCGAGGGTTTCGATGTTATCCGCTCCAGTAATGAGGTCATCAACGTATAGATCCCGGTTTAATATTTCGGCTCTGAGCGGATGATCTTCGCCTGCATCCTTCGCGAGTTGTTTTATGGTTCGTATGGCAAGAAAAGGTGCTGAGGCTTTTCCGAATGTCATCGTATTGAGTTCGAAGGTGCGGATCTGTTCGTTATGTAACCAAAATATCCGTTGATACTGGCGATCGTCCGGATGAATCCATATTTGTCGATACATTTTCTCGATATCCGCCGTCAATACGTATCGATCCGTTCGGAATCGTAACAAGTGTTCTACTAACGTGTCTTGGATTGTGGGTCCGACTAATAAGGTGTCGTTGAGAGAATGTCTCTTATCGTTTTTCGCGGAGGCGTCGAATACGACCCGTACCTTTGTTGTCATACTGGCTGATTTAATGACCGCGTGGTGGGGAAGATAGCAACCTCCTATGGGTTCGTCTTCGACGATCGACATGTGTCCTAACTCGATGTATTCCTGCATAATCCGTTCATATTCCTCGCGGAGTTCGGTGTTCGCGTGTAATTTCTTCCAGAGATTATGGAACCGACGTAGGGCTATACTACGTAAGTGACTGTAATCGTGTCTCTCTTCGCGGAAGGGTAGACGCACAATATACCGTCCCGATTCGTCGCGTTTGGTATTTTGGATATAATGATTTTCGCATGCCATTTCGTGTACCGATTTCGATTGCGTTACATTCGTATCTTCTAATGACCAAAATTTTTCTAGCTGTTCTCTTAACTCGCTAAGAACGCATGGTTTCCTGTGTGGTTGTCAGATTCAATTCCACCGGCGGTTACCTAACCTGCTCGCGTTTTCCGTAGTATAAAATCACCGCGTCCTTGTGACAAAGAAAATTGCCCTATTGACATGAGTGCGAGCGTTGCTCCGGAACCTATCAAGATGTCGACCGGTCGTGGTAAATGGAACTGGGGATCTGCCAGTTTTCGACCGARCGGAATTTTAACGAATTCTCGCGGGAAGACTTCTCCGGGTACCTGATCCGCTATCTTAGGGACGATGAAGAGCGAAAGGCTTCGGCGATATTTATTGTCTAGCGATTGAATGGTTATCYCAATAACACCTGTCGTTCGAGTTACGGTATCGTTGATAGCGTGAATGGGAATGGAATATGGTTTAATCGGCAAGCGTAATTCTCTCGCGACCTTTTCGGTGATGAAGTGTGCGGCGGCACATGTATCTTATAACGCCCGACATTCTCTGAAGGTCCCGTCTCCCCGTCGGACACGACACATAGCGCTCATAAGGAGTTGACTCGATGCGCCGCGTGCGTTACTATTAAAGATTGGTGTTAGTCATACGGAGGTAGGTTTGGTTTGAGATGTTGACTCGATCTCCTCTGTACGATCCGAAAGGATCGTACGGTGATTAGCGGTATTCGAAACTCGCGCGCATCCGCTTCCATCGATTAGGATTCTAGATCGATACTTACTGTGAGCATCGATCAACCA